CACAATTCTCAGAAAGACTCAGGTTGTGTTGTTAGTATCGAGTCCATATTTCTTCCATGTCAGAAGCAACAACAAAAATTGATCTTCTTTACTCAATGTCAGATTCAGGAACTTTGCATTTGTAAGGAGACAGGCTTTAGGGAGGCCTTCAGAGAAGGATGGACGTGTCTCCATCGCTCGTGTAGTGAGTGAAACTGCTGCTCACGATGCTCCCCTGCCTGCTCCTTTGTGACTCTGATATGGAGAAACTGACATGAACTGAAGGGCCGCACAGGACCGCCCTGCATTTCCTGTACAGGTGGGAAAGGTATTTTCTGAACTTCTCTCCAGCAAATGCATAGATAAAGGGGTTGAGGCAACAGTGGCTAAATGCCAAAGTCTCGGTCACGTTGAGGGCCAACTTCAGATTCCTCTTCAGGTCACAACTGGGGAAGAAGTGGTAGAGTTTGAGCGTTTCCAGGAAAACTGCAACATTGTAGGGTGTCCAGAAGAGGAAAAACACGATGACCACCAATAAGATGAGTTTGATGGCTCTAGATTTCTTCTGATTCTTGCAGTAAAACAGTGTTTGGATGATTCTGAAGTAGCAGAAGCTCATGATGAGCAGGGGCAGGAGGAAGCCAAAAACATTTGCTTCCACATTGCGGAGTACAGGCCAGATGTCCTGGAGGATGTCAGGGTAGTCACCCAGGCATTCTTTTTCTTTCTGCTTTGTGAACATGAACTGGGGTGCTGCCACCAGGATGGCTGCTGCCCAGACACCGAGGCTGATGGTGACGCCATGCTGCACAGTCCGGTTGTTCATGGAGTTGACTGCCAAGACGATGGCCAGGTACCTGTCAATGCTGATAATGGTGATAAAGAATATACCTCCAAAGAAGCCAATGAAGAAGAAGGCAGTCATGATTTTGCATGTTGCATTGTGGAGGCCTTCTTCGTTGATCACGTAGTGAGTCCAGAAGGGTAATGTGGCCACGAAGAGCAGATCAGACAAGGCCAGGTTCAGGAGGTAAATGTCAGTGACGCTCTTTGGTTTCTGGCTCTTGGTGAGAGCGAACACCACCAACAGATTTCCCACCAGACCAAAGGCAAAGACAAGAGAATAAAATATGGATAAGAAGATCGTCCCGAAGGCTACAATGTCTCCCACTTCACAGGCTTCTGCAGACTCATCATACTCAAAGTACACTTCGTTGGATTCAGGGTGGGAAGTGGGCATGGTGAAGGCCTGGATCAAAAGAGAAAACAAGTGGCAATGTTAGTCCTCAAAGAACAAATGTGGAATTCTGTCTGGCCCCATATAGAGGCCACAGTGTTTGGATGGCTACTACCTTTTCTACCCTCGCCTGCAACTGTCTTGTGAATCCCCATAGCACTCCTGGGGATGCAACAGATGCCTTTGGCAGAAGTGGCAATCAGGCCCGAGAGGTTCAAAGGGGTCTCTGAGAGGACTGGACCAAAGCCAAATATCAATGGCTCAGCCAGCATTTGGAGCCAGACTTTTTGGAAAATGAAATAGTTCTTTTTTGACTCTTCAAGTCTCTCCAAAAGGTCCCTAGCTTGACAAGTGTGTGGAGGTTGCAGGAAGGACCATGGGCAGAAAGTGACAAGTGAGATTGAATGGGATGATAGTGGAGGGGCTTCCTCCAGTCCCATCTTCTCCAGAGTAATTACCCTCTTCACTTTCACCTTTTCCACTCCTGCACCCTTGTTTCTCTTCCATGATTCTAGGCCAAGAGAGAGAGAGAGAGAGAGAGAGAGAGAGAGAGTTCTCAGGCACTCTCTCAGGGTCCTGACAGACTGACCCCAGAAGGGCTTCTTTTTTCTCCTCTCTCTTCTTGGAACCAACAGGACCTGCTCTTCCTCAGGAGGGATCAGTTAGAGTCACATACTGCAAGTGACTCTCTTGCTTTGGGTTGCTGAGGACTTTCCTGGTTTTAGCATGGAGAATCCCATGTAGGGGTGACATCTCAACTGCAAGCAAGCTGGGGCTGCTGGTTGTCCCACAGCCTTAGGAGAAGAGGAAGCATTGTCATGCAGCTACAGAAGGGTCACCTGATCTGAAGGCTGGGCTCCAGTGGTTAATTCACCTGGACATCATCAGCTGGTTTCCTACTTTGTGGTTTCGCCACTACTTTTATCTCCTGTTTCTTTCTGAGCAAGAACTGGAAAAGAAGACATTTCTGCACAGGTTGGGCATAAACCTTGTCCCATTTCCAGCCAAGACATTTTTGATATTTATTCAAGAGGTAACACACAGGGCAGCCCTTCCACATACAGGCCCTTCCACATACATATAAGGCAGCCCTTCCACATACAAGCATGCTTTGCAGTTATCTTAGCCTCCTTCCTTATCAAAAGTAAAAGCAAACCTCACACTTTTCCCGAAGGAGTTTCCACCACTCTCCACAGCCTGTCCATGGTGGTTTGACCCAGGTGGTGTGTCTATGGAAGAGGACTCACCCAGCCACGGCACTGCTTCTGCCTACCCAGTCTCTTCTGCAAGGAAGTGGGCTATGGCTGACCTCCTTAGGCCTCGAGGAGGTGCTCAACTATAGACAACTCTTTGCTACAGGCTGCAAGGACCCTTTCTAGGGAGCTGAACCTCAGGCTGTGAACTTCATCAATGAGTTTTATGCTGATCAATACAAAATGGCTGACATGTAGCTGATTTTTGAATGCTACAAACCTCAGTTTCATATGTCTTGAGGGAAAACAGCAATTACTGAGTACCTGTAGCTTGCCATAGACCATCATCTTCCTGGTGTGCTGCTGAAATAGTGAAGGCCTTGAAGGATGTGAGTGAGGGACCATGGGTTTGTAAATGCTAATTTCATTTCCTGTATTAGGTGAGGAAGCCCTTTGGGTCTTTGGACTGTCCAGGCTGCCTGTAGACTCTTGTTTTACCCCTACTCTGGCCATCCTAGACAGTTAGTATTTCAAGATTGTTCTAACTTTTCTTCTGGGGTGGGACAGTTACTTTGCAGCTTACTTTGGAGGGGTGGAAAGTAAGCCACTCCTTATGAAGCTTTTACTAAGCTGGTCTTACTGTTAGACATTCCATATGCTTTAGAGACTATTTACTCTTCTCTGCAATTCTGAAAGGGAAGTTATATCATTAATTTATGGCTGTTGAATGGCTCCAGGGATATTTGAGAGGAGAAAAAGATGAAGGTTGGGACAAAGTGTAGAGAAGACATGGGTAGCTAGATATAAGCAGCTGAGTGGCTGAGCATCAAGGGAGCCCCACTTTCAGCCCTAGCACTGGATAGCCCAGCTCAGGGAGGCCACACATCTGGGGACATCTTCTCTAGTTTGCACCGAGATCCTGAATAATAATAAGCCAGGAGTTGGTCCTGGTTGGAGGAGCTTGACACGCATGCAGCAAACATGCTCGAAATGCCACACACGGCACAGAGATCTGCCATTCCTCTCCCAGAAATCACTTAGCCCCCATCTCAGGTGTGAAGGGGCTTTCATTTCAGTGGGGGAAAATGCACGTATATCAACTTTGCTTAAGACAGAATCAGACAAGTGGGCCAGTACATCCTCTGCAGAAGCTGTGATCCCGCCCGAGTGGTGAGCACATTGCTTACTAGGACCCAGTGGCTGAACATAGTATCGGTCTGGCTTGGGCTGCTTCCTGACCTCAAGTGAGCACAGAACAACGTTCCGTCACCCTCTTTCTGGCTCTCTGGTGGCTCAGAGTCCCTTGCAAAGAAATGTCCCAGGTCTCACAGTAGCCCTCTCCGTGATGCCAGATGCCTTGCAATGTGAGCTGATCACCCCATATACCTTGAGCTCCACTAAGAGCCATTCTGGACCACGCTCCAGAGAGAGGTGCAGGGAGGACATCAACAAGCCCCTCGCATACCTCTAAGCCTCCTCAGCAGGCTGATGATGTTAAGTGCCTTGCTCACTGCACAGCCAGAAGTGGGAAGCAGGACAAAGCTGAGTCCCCCACCCCATTCTGCCATATTCCTCCCTCCCTCCCCAAAGATGAAGGACCAAGGAAGGAGAGGCAGGGGCACAATGGCTACCAAATAAAGCAGAGGGATGAACAGCCGTCCAAGCGACCATCCCAGTCCCCTCTCCCGCAGACTTACAGGTTCCTTGAGAGCCTGGGAATGAAGTAACACATTTGTACACTTGAGTTTATCTAGAGACATGCTCGTGCATGTATTCCAGGGACTTCAGGGACAAGGCAGAAGCAAGCTTGACATGGAGATGACAGGAAACCACCCCTGAGCCCCTCTGCAGGGCAGGGCACACCAAGCCACAGTACACCTTCAACTTTACCCAGCACCTGCTTATAAGTAAAAACAGAGCCAGGCAGGTCTGTAAATTCTGTTGCAGAACAATCTCTGTGATACTAGTGAGTGAGGTTCCCCCAGACAGGGAAAACTGCCATTTGTGGAAAGAAACATTGCGTGTTGTTGGTTAAAGTCTGAATATCTCTGGAGGAGCAGGAGTGAGAGGCTAGTGGTGGTGGGCCACAGTTACCACGGGAGGGCGGCTCTAGAGACCAGCAGCTGGGGGAAAAGTGAAGTAAGTTTTACTGCAAATACTTGGATTTTTTTTTTAATATGGACATGTATAACCTATTTTGATAATTGTTTTAATTGATTGACTTAGGAATTTAAAAATAGAAATATATGAATTATATAAAAAACTAAAAGAAGTAACTCAGTACAAATAATGCATGCTGCACATGCTCCTTAAGTGGCAGCTGGTGTACAAAGGGTTTATCTCTGCTTTCTGGGCAAACAGATGCACTCAGAGGGCGAGTAGCCCACTCCAGCCCCCAGCTTGTTGGTGGCAGGGCTGCATTTTGGGTCCAAATGTGTCCAGCTTCTGCCCACTCTTTAGCTTTGCATTATAGCCCTCCTGGCCCACCTCCCACAAGACTGGGAGATCCCCAGACTCTTCAGCTCTGTAGGCTGGTGTCCAACAGAGCAGAGGCCTGACAGAGAACAAAGGAAAATATTTACATATGGGTACATACTGCCCGAGACCACCTCATAAGGTTCCTTGGGCACAATGATGATGGCAACTACTATCCCTGAGGAGCTCACGGGGCATACAGTGTCCCTTGTGGTCATGTGCCAAAGGGCCCTTGAATTCTGAGAGCTCTGTAGATGCCTGGTGTGTTAATGGGTGAATGAATGAATGAATGAATGAATGAATGAATGAATGGCTTAGAAGAATAAGAAAAGAGTGGCACCAGCTGAAAGAGAGAAGCACGGCCTCCCTCCACCCGCAGTCAAGAATCAGTGTGCCTAGCCCAGCTTCCCCTCTATGCTACTGGACTTATCTGATTGTTGAACACTTCTGTGAGCAATTTCAGACCCGTCTTCCAGGCAAGTGTTGAAAAACATGGTGCCAGGCTGTGAGTCATGGGTGATACATGGTGTTGTCTCCCTGGAAAGAGATTTCTAGTCTTTGTGCTCAAGCCAGGCCTTACCAGGGAATACCCCAGAGCTGCGAGAGCAGCATCTACACCAGAAATCTGACACCGCTGCAGGACTTCCCCTTCACCAAGTTTCCACTGAACTTGATAGTTTCAGTGAGATGAGATGCCCTTTCAGGACGTGTGGGCCTGAGCTGAGTAGATCTCTCATTTCTAGGTCTCCTGAGATGTTCAAAGATTGGAGGTGAACCTGGAGAGAGGCCTCTTGGAAGCAGATGTGAGTGTGGCCAGACCTGGACAATGCTTTCTTTTTGTTTCTGAGAACCAAGTGTAAGAATTCAACCAGATAAATGCTTGTGGCATCTTGGTTCTAGGTTTATACCCATAGGGGTTGCAAGAAGCACATACTGGAGGGAGGACACCAATAAAGCTGAGACTGCACCTTGCATCTCAGCACCCAATAAAGCTGAGACTACTACCTGCACAGTAGTCAGCAAGAACCCAGGTCCTGACTAGGCTGTTTCAGGATCCCTGCACCCTCTAGTTGGTTAAGCCCGAGGTTTACCAACTGCTGCTGAGATGGGATAATCTGAGGCAAGCTGTGAAGCAGAGCTTGGCAAGTGTGTGTGTCCCATGCCCAAGTGAAGATGACTTCTGTACGACCTACTTTATAAAACTCCCACACTCCTCCACTGCCCATCCTGGTCCACTTCCTCTGGTCACTTCCTTTTCTCATGCCTACTCATTTGTTTTTTAACTCTTTTCCATGGGCGGAGTAGAAGGCATCCTTACCCACTATTTCCAATCAGCTTCCCTTT